GCACGGCACATCCTGACTTGGCAATATTTCCCCGCTCTTCCATGCAAAAACACTCCAAATCTGTCAGATTGCGAGGACATCTCCTGTGCGCTGCCCTCTTCAGGTCACCCCACAGATTTTCCATCGGATTCAGGTCTGGGCTCTGGATGAGCCATTCCAAAACCTTTCATCTTCTTCTGGTGAAGCCATTCCTTTGTTGATTTGGATGTATGCTTTGGGTCGTTGTCATGCTGAAAGATGAAGTTCCTCTTCATGTTAAGCTTTCTAGCAGAAGCCTGAAGGTTTTGTACCAATATTGACTGGTATTTGGAACTGTTCATAATTCCCTCTACTTGACTAAGGCCCCAGTTCCAGCTGAAGAAAAACATCCCAAAAGCATGATGCTGCCACCACCATGCTTCACGGTGGGTATGGTGTTCTTTTGGTGATGTGCAGTAGTGTTTTGCGCCAAACATATCTTTTGGAATCATTGCCAAAAAGTTCAACCTTGGTTTCATCAGACCAGAACACATTTTCCCACATGCTTTTGGGAGACTTCAGATGTGTTTTTGCAAAATTTAGCCGGGCTTGGATGTTTTTCTTCATAAGAAAAGGCTTCCGTCTTCCACTCTACCCCATAGCCCAGACATATGAAGAATACGGGAGATTGTTGTCACATGGACCACACAGCCAGTACTTGCCAGATATTCCTGCAGCTCCTTCAATTTTGCTGTAGGCCTCTTGGCCGCCTCCCAGACCAGTTTTCTTCTCATCTTTTCATCGACGTCCAGTTCTTGGTGATGTCACTGTTGCACCATATTTTCTCCTCTTGATGATGACTGTCTTCACTGTGTTCCATGGTATATCAAATGCCTTGGAAATTCTTTAGTACCCTTCTCTTGATTGATACAATTTAACAATGAGATCCCTCTGATGCTTTGGAAGCTCTCTGCGGACCATGGCTTTTGCTGTAGGATGCGACTAAGAAAATGTCATGAAACACCTACTAAAACTGCTAAACTTTATTTAGGGTTAATCAGAGGCACTTTAAATGATGGCAGGTGTGTACTGACTCCTATTTAACATGATTTTGAATGTGATTGCCAAATTCTGAACACAGGTACATCCCCAGTTATAAGAAGCTGTGCACTCTTATGCAACCGCATTATTTTAGTTCTTTATGTTTACTTCCCCCCTAAAAGATTTCAGTATGTTTTTCAATTGAGCTGTACAGTTTATAGTTCGCATTAAAGGTGGAAAAAGTTCTGAAATGATTTATCTTTGTATCATTTTTTTGCATCACAGGAACCTGATATTTTAACAGGGGTGTGTAGACATATCCACTGTATACTGTACATATATATGAATATGACACACACGTTTGTGGACACTCAAACATAAAACCTATAACAGACTCTTCTGGGAAGGCTTGCTTTTCACAAGATTTTGCGGAGTCTGTGGGAATGTGCGCACATTCAGGCCAGGTTTCTGATGCTGGATGGGAAGACCTGGCTTGCAATGGGCATTTTAATTCTGTAGGGTTGAGGTCAGGGCTCTGTGTAGACCACTATGGTTCCTCCACACAAACAACGTATCAAAGCACGTCTTTATGGAGCTGGCTTTGCACACAAGGGCACAGTCATATTGGAACAGAAAAGAGCCATTCTCAAAATGGTTATCACAAGGTTGCAATCACACAGCTGATAAGAGTCCTTACATACTGCACCCTTCATTAGAAGCGCCTAAACCCAATTATTTGGAGGGGTCCATGTAATTTTGTCCATAAAAGTTTACAGACACAGTGTTAAATTTTATTTTCAAGTGATCTATACTGTAAAATAGGAATATTTAACAAAAAAAAAAAAAAAAGGATGTGCCTTTCCTAAACATACTGCAGCCCCTTCCACTCACCCCACAGCGCGGCGCATAGGATTTCAGAATTGAACCTCTTCTTGTACTTCCTGATCTCTGGAGTGTCACTGTGCGGCCTAATGTTAGTTGGATTCACGTTCACAACAGATCCTTTTCGGGCCTCATATTTTTAACTGCTCCAACCTGGCGGCATCTCCGCTTACGAATGACGCTGCAAAAACAAAGGTGCAAGTTTACCATCTCAACTATACAATACAGAATTGGTCACATCAGGGTAAACAACTAATTGTTACCCACTGCTGAGACAAGGTAGGGAGTCTCACTCTACCTTCCGCTTCTTCCCCCAACCCAAATAGAGAATGCAGCATTGGGTAAAGACTCCTCCCATCAACAGGTATGGAGGAGCTTAACCACCTCCTGTCCGGCCATTGTATATAAACGGATTCCCCACCCCCTGCTTGTGCGTGCTCCCTGGGAGTGCAGAGCACCGCGATCCGGTGCCCGCTTTGTCCTCCGGACACAGTGGAACACCGATCGTCAGACGGGACCTCTGTGTGAGGTCCCGATCATGTGATCACTGATTGGCCAATTAGTGATCACATGCAGAGTAGTAAGCAAGATGTCACTTCTGACATCATTGCTTACTACCAGTGAAATCTGTGAATGATCACAGAGGTCACATGGTATAAGGCTATTCACAACAGCCTTGTACCATGTGACAAGCTGTGACCAATCACAGCTCACACAGTTGTTCTCAATGGCTGCAAGAATGCAGTCAGAGAGAGGAGAAATTATTGCTTTTACAGCCTTTTATGGGTGTAAAAGCAATTAGTGTAAAAAAAAAAAAAAATCTTCTATCATCCCCCCACAAGTAGTACAGTGTCACCATGGTGACACTGTATTGCTAGGGTGACAGTATGTAAAAAACAAAATGAAAAAAAAAACAAATATAAAAAAAATGTAAATAAAAAAATGTTTAGAAATTATAATTTTTGGTTATAAACTAATTTGTTTTTTTTTTTTAATACTAAAAAGATAGCTGAATACATTTTGGCAAGATTTATGATGAAATAATATTTATTTGCAAAATTCTATAAGAAAAACACTTTTTTTTCAAAATTTTTGGACTTTCATTTACATAGCAAAATAAAAAAAATCCCAGCGGTGAATAAATACCACCAAAAAAAAAAGCTTTATCTGTCTAAAAAAAAATGCAAAAAAATTCATATGGGTACAGTGTTGCATGACCGTGCAATTGCCATTCAAAATGTGGTAGCGCTGAAAGCTGAAAATTGGCCTGGACAGGAAGGGGGTAAAAGTGTCCGGACTGGAAGTGGTTAAAACCTAAAACCTAAGTGTCCCCAAATCGTTTTTTTCCCAAGAATCAAAAACTTTGACGCGTTCCTTAATACTGATGACAAGGCTAGTGAAAGTCAGCTAGTTCAGTCACCTGTGTGGGATTATATGAAGAGCAGAGTTTTCACACTACATATGTCTTCCTAATAATATTTGTCACCTGCAGGTAAAAACATATTAACCACTTGCCCTCCAGAAGATCCCCCCCCCCCCCGACCAGGCCATTTTTTGCGATACGCGCTGCGTCACTTTGACAATTGCGCGGTCATGAAATTTATGTCCTTTTTTTTTTTTTCACCCACAAAGCTTTCTTTCGGTGTTATTGGATCACCTGTGCAGTTTTTATTTTTTGCGCTTTAAACAAAACAAGACTGACAATTTTTTTAAAAACAAACAATATTTTTTACTTTTTGCTATAAAACATATCCAATAAAAAAAATAAAATTTCTTTATAAATTTAGGCCATAATGTATTCTGCTACATGTGTTTCCTACAATAATCCCAATAATTGTATATTAATTGGTTTACATACAAGTTATAGCGTCTACAAATGGCGGTATATATAGTGGAATTTTTATTTGTATTTTTTTCCTATACTAGTAATGGCGGCGATCAGCGACTTATATTGGGATTGCAACAGGCATTCTAACACTGGGTAGGCACTGACTAACTGCCACTGACATCCCCAGTGACACCAATACAGTGATCAGTGCTAATAAAAAGCACTGACACTGTACTAATGGCACTGGGCAGGAAGGGGTTAACATCTGGGGCGATCAAAGGGTTAACTGTGTGCGTTTTACTGGGGAGACATGCTGCTTTGTATCGCTCAGCTTGGGCACACTGCTCTGAATGGCTGTGCACAGCACAGCCATTCAGAGCAGTGTGCTTACAGTGAAGCACACACACCGCCCCCTATGTAAAACACTCCCTGCACACAATTAACCCTTTGATCGCCCCTCATGGTAACCTCTTCCGGCCCAGTGCCATTAGTATAGTGTCAGTGCTTTTCATTAGCACTGATCACTGTACTGGTGTCACTGGAGATGCTAGCGACACAAAGTCAGTGCCCACCCAGTGTCAGAATGCCTGCCACAGTCCCGCTATAAGTCGCTGATCGCCGCCATTACTAGTAAAAAAAAAAAAAAAAAATCCCAGTATATACCGCCATTTGTAAATGCTGCAACATTCACGTAAACCAATTAATTAATTTACATGTATTGGGATTTTTTATTTTTTTTTAGCAAAGACATGGAGCCAAATACATTTTGGCCTAAATTTAATTTTTAATTTTTTTTTTATTGGACATGTTTAATAGCAAAAAGTCAAAATATTGTTTTTTTTTTCCCAAAATTGTTGGTCTTTTCTTTTTATAGTGCAAATAACAAAAAAACCCCAAAAAACAAAAAGACCGCACAGGCAATCAAATGCCACCAAAAGAAAGCTCAATGCATGGGGGGGGGGAAAAAAAAAGGACGTAAATTTAATTTGGGTGCAGCGTTGCATGACCGCTCAATTATCAGTTGCCGTAACGAAAAAAATGGCCTGGTCAGAAATGGGGGGGGGGGGGGGGGAATCCTTTGGAGGCTAAGTGGTTATTGTTTGTATAATTGTTTACATGAAGTTGATTTCTTTCTTTCAGGCACAACCTGAAAGTTACCCTAATGTCTATCTACCTACATGACAATAAAAGAAAAAACGTAATTGGCAACACAGACAATACCTGCAACAGGGATGGTGTCCCCACTTCCTCCTGATGACTGGTAGAGCCCAAGATCCACAAACATGGTGAATGAGGTTTTGGGAGGAGCTTTCACCAGGCCACGGGACTGATACTGTGGAGAGAGGGAAATCCTTGTGAAAGCAGGCAGTGGCATACACAAATGTGGTCATAATACTCTACTAAAATCATGAAACCATGCAGGAAATACACCCTGGATATCATAAAGAGCTTTGTAGACACACATTAGAAGCCTGTCCATGCAACAAATGGCTCAACCGGCGGTGGCAGATTCCGGTAGTTGTTTGGTAAGTGGTACTTGAATCTGTTGGAGAATTGCTTTCTTCTGCAACAGAATACTCACAGGCCACAACCTGGAAGAGGTCTTATTTACCACAACTTTAACCACTTCCCGACCGGCCGTTGCACATAAACGGCCGGACGGTGGCAGTACAGGGTCAGGGTCGGGTGGCCGTTTTATGAACGGCCTCCCTGCACCCTGCTTGTGCGCGCTCCCTGGTAGCGCGCAGCACCGCGATCCGGTGCCCGCTGTGTCCTCCGGACACAGTGAAACACCGATCGTTGGATGGGACCTCTGTACGAGGTCCCGATCATGTGATCACTGATTGGCCAATCAGTGATCACATGCAAAGTAGTAAGCAAGATGTCACTTGTGACATCATTGCTTACTACGTGTGAAATCTGTGAATGATCGCAGAGGTCACATGGTACAAGGATATTCACAACAGCCTTGTACCATGTGACAAGCTGTGACCAATCACAGCTCACTCTGTATTTCTCAATGACTGCAAGAATGCAGACAGAGAGAAAGAGAAATGATTGCTTTTACATCCTATATGGGTGTAAAAGCAATCATTGTAAAAAAAAAAAAAAATAAAAAATCTTCATCACCCTCCACAAGTAGTACAGTGTCACCATGGTGACACTGTACTGCTAGGGTGACAGTATGTAAAAAAAAAATAAATAAAAAATAATAATATAAAAAAAATAAAATAAAAATGTAAAAAAAAATGTTAAAAAAATTATAATTTTTGGTTATAAACTCATTTGTTTTTGGTTTTTTTTTTTTACTAAAAAGATAACGAAATACATTTTGGCAAAGATTTATGATGAAATATTATTTATTTGCAAAATTTTATAAAAAAAAAACACTTTTGTTCAAAATTTTTGGACTTTTTCATTTACATAGCAAAAAAAATAAAAATCCCAGCGGTGAATAAATACCACCAAAATAAAGCTTTATCTGTCGCAAAAAAATAGTAAAAAATTAATTTGGGTACAGTGTTGCATGACTGCGTAATTGTCATTCAAAGTGTGATAGCGCTGAAAGCTGAAAATTGCCCTGGTCAGGAAGGGGGTAAAAGTGTCCGGTCTGGAAGTGGTTAATGAAGTGGCCACAGCTATAGCGCCAGAATGTAAAAGTGTTACCCATAAGAACGTTTATGAAGTTGGCACAGGACTGTCAAAGAGCTGATTCACACATGTGCGGTGCGGATTGAAGATCAGGTTTCACAGTAGTTGTTCACCGGTTCCGGTCAGGTTTACATCAGGTTCAGGACAAGATTAGCTCAAGATCTTATCCTGTTTCACACATATGCAGTTTACAAACAGTTCCTATAGCCTGTAATCCGCACCTGAACCTGAAGGCACTGTTCAGAAATCGGACATGACTCTTTTTCAAGCAGCACTGCCAAAGCACCGGACATATGTGCACAGGCACCATAGGAAGCTATGTTATTTCACGTCATGCGGATTGGATGCAGTTCAACCCACATCCAATCCGCATATATGTGAACCGGCACTTATAAGGCTTTAATGCCAGAAACGTTTTTGCAAATACTTTGACTCGACCTTCATTATTTTACAGCAGATACTTCCATTTTCGGCAGCATTATTAAAAAAAATTATAAGTTAACCGCTTGCCCTTCACCCTATAGCAGATGTACTGCTACAGGGAGGCGCAAAATCATAAATATGTGATTTGCATTTCGAGGAGGGGGTTGGGTTGGGGCGGTGCTACTGGCTGCTAGTGATGTCAATTATTGGGTTCCGGCAGGCGATTCTCGTCCGGCACTCGGCGATCGTTGGGGAAAGCTGACAGTAAACATCACAGGTCTCTCTCCTGTCAGCAAGGACATGCTGCTTTGTATCTCTCTGCACAGCATGTCTCTCTAGTAAAACAAACACAGCACATAGGTAACCCTTTGATCACCCCAGATGTTAACCCCTTCCTGCCCAGTGCCATTAGTACAGTGTTTATTAGCACTGATCACTGCATTGGTGTCACAGTGGATGTCAGTGGCAATAAGTTCCCCCCCCCCAGTGTCAGAATGCCCGCCGCAGTCCCACTATAAAATTAAATAAAAATCCCAGTACATATGCCGCCATTTGTAAACATTATAACTTTCGTGTAAACCAATTAATTTACACTTATGGGATTTTTTTTTTTTTTTTTAGCAAAGACATGGCGCAGAATACATTTTGGCCTAAATTTTTGAAGAAATTTGATTTTATAAAATTTTTTTATTGGATATATTTTATAGCAAAGAGTCAAAAATATGTTTTTTTTTTTTCTAAATTGTTGGTCTTTTTTGGTTTATAGCGCAAAAAATAAAAAGTGCAGAGGCGATCAAATACCACTGAAAGAAAGATCTGTTTGTGGGAAAATTTTTTGACAAATTTCATTTATGTACAATGTTGCATGACCGCGCAATTGACAGTTAAACGTAACACAGCGCCGTATCGAAAAAAAATGGCCTGGTCAGGAAGGGGGGTAAATCCTCTGGAGGGTGAGAGGGTTAAGGATTAGTTCAGCAATCTTTCAGAGATGCTGGTGAGTAATGCAGGCCATAGACGGGTTGAAAACCGGCTGTTTTTTTAACAGAAAAAAAACACGAAAAATCGGTCGTTCAATAGGCCGACGTTACCACCAACGGAAAAAAAAATTGGCCGATTTTCGTCCTGTCTACGGCCGGCATTTAATTACTTCTGTCCCTGCAGAGAGCTCGCCGCTATTATATTTGACATTAAAAAGTATTGCGGTTGCAACATTGTATCAATTTCGGATACAGATGTTTTTATTCTTATACAAATAGATACATTGTTGCAACCACAATACTTTTTCATGTCAAATATAATAGCGGAGTGGAATAATTCTTCTTTTTCTTGCAGGTCACAGCTCATGCGCAGTTTTTTATATCGGTAAAAAGATCTGCCGATTTGCCCATCATTGCCGCGAAAATCGGCCGATATTTGTTCCAACTTTGCCGACTAAAAAAATGTGCCAAAATCCAGAAAAAAACGGCCAACCCATTAACGGTGCGAAAATCGGCTGATTTTTTTTTTCCGGCCGAAAAATTTAGCTGATTTTAGACCCATCTATGGCCTGCATTACACCACTTGCTTCTCATACCTCTCAGGTGTCCTGGAGGCGAGGTATCTGTACTGAGCTTTCAAGTCTGTTGACGTGTCGTAGTCACTATGAGGGTTTCCTATTCTCCTGCTGAAATCTTATTCTGTTTTATAGAGTACAGTAGGGAATGGGGACAGACCAAGGTGAGCAGGAAAAGAACTATAAACCGAGACCCCAAGAAGGAAACCAACTAATGCCTCCAAGTGAATATCAGTTTTAGTCGGAATAACCATTTCAACACATTTCATTAATATGGTATAGCCAGACAGACGTTACAGAACAATGAATAACCCCAAGTTCATTTGTTTCCAGGAAAAGCAAAACAATGCGTTATCACTGATTTAATTCTAAAAATGCTGCCTGTTGGTCTGTTAGGCTTCCTTAATTTGAGTTAGCAACCTAAGAGAAGCATGTGGCCAGTGAAATCAGAACTCCCGATCTACCTTATTGTTCAGCATGAAAGCTATTGCATAAGAGTTATTTATTATATTTCTATTAATGATTTCCCTTTGGGTTCAACCAAATATTTTGAATCTGAATGATGACCGCCGTGAATCACAGCTTTTTTTTAGTTTTCTTACTAGAGGTCTCCTTCAATGGATACACTATAGAGAAGCCAATTGTGAGATTTCGGTGCAGCAGATTACATCTCCACCACCCCTAACATAAAAACACAATGATAGCTTTAGTCTGCTGCAACTAGACTCCAGCAGCAGTTGGACCCAACTGAGAATTCTGGCGGCAGTTCACCACGGGAGTTCCCAAATGATATTAGAAGCAAGCATGTGATTCAACTGACCAATAGCAACACAGAAAATAAATATAAGCTTTGGGTGTAATTGACCTTTAACCCCTTCACGCCTAAGGGTAAAACAAATCTTAATGCCCAAGCACAATTTTACAACTTTGACCTGTGTTAGGAAAACCGTACAGATCATCACAACTACTTTGTACATCCAGGTAAATTATAACGCGTTTTTTTCAGGACAAATTGGGCTTTCATTTGGTGGTAAATGGTAATGGATAGCTCCTATTTTTTTTTTTTATTATCAAAAGGAAAACTAGCCCACAATAGTAAAAAAAAATAAAAATAAATATATATTTTTTTTTAATTTAGCTGTGTGTTTTTTTTGTTACTACCATAACCCTCCATCAAAGAAGGACCCAAAATAAATTTTTCAACTCTTGACAATCGCAGCGATACCATCTATGTGTATATTATTCGTACCAGTAGTACAGCCCACAAACAATAGTGCACATTTTGTTTTTTGTTTGTTTTTTTAACCTAAAACACACACCAATTTAAAAAAAAAATTAAATTCCTGACCTTTGACCCTGACCCAAACATTAACCCCGACACTGAACTAGATCAAACCTTGATCTAGGTATTTTTTTTTTTTTTTTAAATATCTTTTTTTTTTTAACAAACATTTTTTTTCTCTATGGAAGGAGTTAGAGAGACAAAATGTCTCTCTCTCCTCTATTCATAGAGAAAAACAAGAAAAAGGGGGTTGGGCTACACAGTGGCTGATTGCTGTGATAGCCAATCAGAGGCTATCACAGCGATCATGTGATTTGGAATCGGGAGTCCAGGGTCCCGATTGTTAGAATGGGACCCGGGGCTCTCAGTGACACCCCGGGATCTTTGTGCTGGGAGCGCGCTCCCATCAGAAAGATAGGTATGCAAATATGTGGACCCACAGAAAAAAGCCCAGTTTTTTGTGAGACCACATATATCTGTGACTGTCGGCATCAAGGGGTTAAAGAGGGACTGCTGCTTTTTCCATTCAGAACAGAGTGCCAATGGCTGCACACAGCCCACCACCCTGCCACACTCCCTCACCATAAAGTGGGACTTCAGACTATGGGGGAGGCATATAGTGTGCCCTATGTGACAATGACCAGGCTACAACACTATCATGTGGGGGGTGCAATGTCATCATTCCCGTCTAAGCTCCGAGACCAGTGAAATACTGCTGAGAGAAGCCACCCGGGATGCCTGGGGTGCCAATTCTGCTAAAAGGGGAAAGTGACAGGGTCTCTTAAAACAGTTAAACACCATTTCCTATCTCAACTTTAAGCTACGGTACATGTATCCATTTACTCACATCAGTTCCACTGCCCTCTTTGCTGGGAGATGAACTTTGACCCTTTGGCTCAGTGGGGGAATGGCTTGGCTGTACCACATCTGGTAAATTGGTGTACCCATTGCTGTCTGCATGGAGAAGATTTCTTTCTTCTTCCGGCGTCTGACAAAAAGACAACACAAAGCAGCAAATTAAATTGCAGAGAAATGATGGGGGTTGCAGGACATTCTGGGAAGAATTTAGGTGTCTTAGATCCTAAAGTACACTGGTCATGACAGACTATAGATGCTGCCATTGGAGGCCACGTCTTCTGAAATTGTTAGTTGCCTAGTCAGTGACCTTGAATAAAAATAAGGCGTTCTGACTTTCATTAGCTGCATATTTGATTTGGGTCTGGATAAAGGTACTTATATAGCGCCAAAGGGTATGCTCAGCGTTGTACAGTAGCAAGGGGGACAGAACATGAGACAAGACAGTAACAATACAATACATGAGGGGATCGAGGGCCCTGCTCTTTTGAGCCTACAATCTAGGAGGGAGGGGAAGGTGGCACAGGAGGGGATGGCTGTTAGGTGAGGTCGGATGCTAGGTGAGGATGAAGAGGAGGGTTTTCAGGGTGCGCCTGAAGGTGAGGAGGGTAGGTGACAGTCTGATGGATTGGGGTAGGGAGTTCCAGAGGATGGGGGAAGTCCTGGAGAAGTCCTGCAATCGGGCGTGGGAGGAGACCAGGGAGCTAGAGAGTAGGAGGTCCTGTGAGGAGCGGAGGGCACGGGTAGGGTAGTATTTGGGTATCAGGTCAGTTATGTAGTTCGGGGCGGCATTCTGAATGGCCTTGTAGGTCAGGGTTAGCAGCTTGAACTTGATGCGTTGGGCAATCGGGAGCCAATGAAGGGATTGGCAGAGGGGGGAGGCAGATGTGGAGCGGTTGGTGAGGTGGATGAGTCAATTGCTGAGTTCAGGATAGACTGGAGTGGGGATAGCGTTCGTTTGGGTAGGCCAGTGAGAAGGGAGTTGCAGTAGTCCAGGCGTGAGATGATGAGGGAGTGTACAAGTTGTTTGGTGGTGTCTGGGGTGAGGAATGTGCGTATCTCGGAGATGTTGCGGAGGTGGAGCCTGAAAGATCTAGATAGCAGTTGGATGTGGGGTAGGAAGGAGAGGTGGGAGTCCAGGGTGACACCCAGGACTTTGGCATGTGGGGTGGGAGAGATGGTGGCAGCCAAGCAAATATCATCTTCAGAAGAAGCAATGGCAGCCTTGAGTCTGCCATATACTTGAAAGTACATTTCTGTGTGTATCTATAATGAAATGATGTGTCTAAAATGTGCTCCTTTATAACTGGGGCAGCACTCCTCAGGGTCAAGGCCACACTATCTTTTATTCCTTGCATAGGAATGATGGGGGTTGGACTGGACAGATGGCATTTGTCAATGATTGAATCTGATCAGTTAACAGTTAATATAAATGTAAGCTGGGACTGTCAATTTCTCACTGGGTGCTGTAAATGTACTTCATGTTTTTGCTTGGAAATGACAATAAAAAGATTGAATATAAATGTAAAAATGTGCATAAAAAACCAAACAACAGGACTGCTCACCCTCTGAACAATCATGGTTCCATCACCGTATGAACTGTCTGACGTACTGCCCACCAGTTCCTCCACATCATGGACCACCATGGTACTCACACTATCAGTGTCTGCATCACGCCCGTTCCGGCTGCAACACAAGAAAGGTGAAAACAATCATTGTAAGTGCTGGTAATCCCCCGGGCCAAACGATGGATGCCCCAGCTGACACTCAGAGCAGACATGTAGGCAAATGTGACGTGCACCTGACCTGCAGTAAAAAGAGGAGACGGTCCATACAGTTGGATGCAGGAAAGTCAGAAGGTTTGTGGTATATTGTACAACACGGATCAGCAGATAGGTGGACCATATCTTCCTCTTGCCAAAGCTGCGATTGAGCAGTGTATCATGTCATTGATAGAAGCCCAGGCAGCAACAGCAGAGTATATACTGTGCATTAGTTTGCATTTGACCTCCTCCTAAGCTGCACCAAGCTGCTGTTCCATTCTCATTGATTTGTAAGTTAGAAAAGCAGTTCCGCCATGAACAAAAGCCCAATATGTGACACCACTGTGCTAACTTCTGTCAACATAAACGCAACTTGAGATCGTCTTAGAGGCCACTCACGCCTGTCTGATCTGGTGCGTTGTTATAGTAAAGTCAAACTAAACCAAAAAAAAAAAAAAAAAAGCTTGCCTCCACTTTCGTGATGCAGCGGTTACATCCCATGCCAGCTGCTGTCATCTTCTCCCCAGATACTCCCGAGTGCTGGGTTTTCGACTATTTGATTGGCTGTTAGGGGTATAACATCACCCCATACGTGTGCATAGGAGTCAGTCCTTCTGGCACACCCGGAGCGTACTAGGAACACAGGTTGAGCCATACGTGCGCAGCTTAGTGTACATACAATAGACGAATGTGTACCAAGTGTTTATTGCAGAAGAGACATGCTATGTTCCTTATGCAATAACAGAGCTGAACTGTTTAAAGTGATAATAAAGGTTTTTTGTTTTTGCACAGATCAGCCCTGATCATTTTCTCAGGTCTCCTGCCGACTAGCCTAGTGCCCCCATAGCAAGCAGCTTGCTATGGGGACACCCGAGCAAGGCTTGCTCCCGAGTGCTGCTCTGTGTCCATTCACACACAGAGCGTGACTCAGCCCCGCTCTCTCATTGGCTGTGACTGACAATAGCAGGAGCCAATGGTTACTGCAGCTGTCTCGTCCAGTTAGGAGGGAGAGATCCAGGAGAGCCGAGGCTCTCATGCACGCCGCTGGATCAAAAGGGGGCTTAGGCAAGTTTTAGGGGAACAGGGGATGCTGCTTCACACAGGTTTTTCATCTTCATGCATAGAATGCATGAAAAAAAAAAGAAACCTTGAGCCTTTACAACCACTTTAAGTTCAGTTCAACTTTAATGTGTGTTCAGTTATAGCGTACCTTTAAGGTAGGAAAAGAAAATATAAGCAGACAAACAGGATTTTAAATGCAGGAGTGACGTGCTTCGTCTTTTCTGCATTAAAGCTACTTACCTGCCTGTCTGCCCCTGTACAGCACGTGCGCACCTCACTGCACAAATTCAGCAATGCCGAAGATGACACAACTCTTGCGCACGCGTAGGAGAGGCATCTTCTTGGTCTGGTCCAATGACAACAGCTGGTGATGGAGACCTGGAAGCCAGCCGCTCAAAAATGTCAGCAGTCGTCGGGGGAGTTCCAGGACTGCGCATCGCTGGATTGAAGGCGAGTATAGTTCCACTTTAAGGCAGCCTATTCCAATTAATTCTACTTCACCACGACGAAAAAAAAAAAGGAAACAGATACCAGACATGTCAAGGTTTAAAAGTGTGCATGCCTGTGAAATGGTGACAAACTACAGTACCTAAAACTGTCTACACTGAAAATCTGTAAAGGCTTTTAAAGCATCACCTGTTGAGTGGTTAATTAGGGCCTTGGAATTACTGCACTCACTCCGTTTGTGACAACATCGCCATGTGTGGAGTAATCATTGTTTATATATGTGTGCCAGACCTATGCACCCGCTCTCATTTACGTCTGCGCATGGGGAGGGGGTGCTTTTATTTTTTTTAAACACTTTTTTTTTATCATTTAACTTTACTATCATAAAGGGGCAAACAAGCCCCTTTGTGATAGCTTTGGGCAGTGACAGGTACTCTTTACGGAGGCATCAGGGGGTCTATTTCTTCCCAGTGCTGTAAAATGATCTTTAACGTGACAGCCAATCACCAGCTGAGAAAAATGCTACCAGGATCATGGGGGCAGCCACAGCCACAATCCTGGTATTAACTACTTTCCGTCAGGACGTTTATATACATACGTCAGAGGGGAAGCGGTTAAAGAGGATCTTCCAATATATGTCAAATATTTAATTCAGCCGCAATAAATGTTTATATGAGGGGGGTTCAAGTCAAAGCAGCACTTCTGAATTTGAATAATAAAAACAAATTTCGAGGAGTGGAAATTGCACTTATTTTTCTACATACTCCCCTGCTACATTTATACACTTATCCCAGTGTTTAACTAATGCCTGGAAAGGTTTGGCATAGAAAGATTTGTCAGTACACCTGAACCATCCTAGGACAGCCGGCTTCACTTCGTCATCATTGTGTTCACCGTTCCCACAGACAGATTCACCTCTTGTGCAATTTCATGGCAGGTTATGTGATGATTATCCAGGATCCGGAGTTCCATGCGCTGAATGTTCTCTGGAATGACTGCTGTGGGCTGGGAACCACCACGGCCGGGATCGGCACTGACTGACGTACAGTGGGGAAAATAATTATTTGATCCCCTGCATTTTGTAAGTTTGCCCACTTACAAAGAAATGGACGGTCTGTAATTTTTATCCTAGGTGTATTTTAAATGATAGAAACAGATTATCCATCAAAATCCAGAAAAAACACGATACAAAAGTTATAAGTGAAGTTGCAGTTCAGTGAATAAAATAGGTATTTGATCCCCTACCAACCAATAATAACTCTGGCTCCTACAGACTGGCTGTGTGCTCATGTGGTACACAGAAACTTGGTGAGAAGGGGACAACTGTTGGAGCGATTATTTGCAAATGGAGGAAATACCTAATAACCATCAATCGCCCTCGGTCTGGAGCTCCATGCAAGATTTTGTCTCATGGGGTAAGGATGATCATGAGAAAAGTGAGGGATCAGCCCAGAACTACACAGGAGGAGTTTGTGAATGATATCAAGGCAGCTGGGACCACAGTCACCAAACAAACCATTGGTAACACAATACGCCGCCATGGATTGAAATCCTGCAGCACCCGCAAGGTCCCCCTTCTCAACAAGGCACATGTACAGGCCAGTCCGAAGTTTGCCAATTGAACATCTAAATGATTCAGAGAAGGATTGGGAGAAGGTGATTGGGGTCAGATGAGAACCAAAATTTAGCTCTTTGGCACTAACTCGACTTGCCGTGTTTGGAGGAAGAAAAATGCTGACTATGACCCCAAGAACACCATCCCTACAGTCACGCATGGAGATGGAAACATTATGGTTTGGGGCTGTTTCTCTGCTAAAGGTACAGGCCAACTTTGCCACATTGCGGGGCCAATGGATGGGGCCATGTATTGTAAAATCTTAGATGAGAACCTTCTTCCCTCACCCAGAACACTGAAGATGGGTCTTCCAGCATGACAATGACCCAAAACAAACCACCAAGGCAACAAAGGAGTGGCTCAAGAAGCAGCATATTAAGGTCATGGCATGGCCTAGCCAGTCTCCGGAACTTAATCCTATAAAAAATTTATTGAGGGAGATGAAACTTTGAGTGGCCAATTGACAGCTAAGAAACCTTCAGGATTTAGAGAAGATCTGTAAAGAAGAGTGGACCAAAATCCCTCCCGAGATGTGTGCAAACCTGGAAACCAACTACAAGAAACGTCTGACCTCTGTGCTCGCCAACAAGGGTTTCTCCACCAAGTCATGTTTTGGGTGGGAATCAAATACTTATTTTACTCACTGAACTGCAACTCTTTTTATAACATTTGTATCATGTGACTTTTCTGGATTTTCGGTTGATATTCTGTCTCTGGCCGTGACATGTGCGCCGCCTATCACCTACCCTGTAAAAATAATTGCTAAGAGAATTCATGGAAAAAGTCGCTTACGAGTGACGGTCCATGCAATCGCCAACGGTTGGATACGACTGAATGGATTGTGAGAGAGATTCTGTCTCTATCATTTAAAATACACTTATGATAAAAATGATAGACCCTTCATTTCTTTGTAAGTGGGCAAACAAACAATCTGCAGGGGATCAAATAATTATTTTCCCCATTGTATGGTCATCTTTGAAACGATTAGACCATTGAAATGTCTTACTGCGGCTGAGCGTCTCATCATCATATTGTGCTTGCAATCGTGGGTTTTACGCCTTCGTTCACAAGAAACGTCATCACCACACGCTGTTCCACGCACGCACTAACACTGATGTCTGCCATCTTGATTAACAGTCTCTGGACTGGGCCGTGACATGTGCGACTTGAACACCCCTTGTATATTATCATAAAAACCCAAAGTTACTAGTGCATTACGTCCAGAGATATCTACCTCCCAACTGCTGCCATCTTGGATCCAGGATTATTGGGAGAAAGCGGTTACTTCCTGATTGCCATAGCTGTCCCCACCCCTGATGACACACAGCTAGATGTCATGCATGTGCACATGGAGATCTAGCTGGTCATCATTTTATTTAGTGGTTGCTGGATGACATCAGGTAACATAAGGACTATGCCATACTTTATAGCAGGGGTGGGCAACTGTGGCCCTCCAGCTGTTGTAGAACTACAAGTCCCATGAGGCACTGCAAAACTGACAGTCACAAGCATGACTCCTAAAGGCAGAGGCATGATGGGACTTGTAGTTCACCAACAGCTGGAGGGCCACAGTTGCCCACCCCTGCTTTATAGAATGAAGAAGGCATGAAATTTCACAATGTCTTGGCAAGTTCATGAGACTTCATAACCTACTGCCCGGCAGCCTTCTGGGATGTGAGGTGTGGATATACTGTAGGTACCCCTAGGCAAGAAAACCAATAGCTGGGAAGAGAAATCCAGATAAAATAGAAATATTGCATGCGATTTAGTAAGAGAGAGGGTGAAGGAAGAGAAAGGCAGGAAGTTCACTTCCTGGTAAAAGACCCACTTTAAGGAGACAATACTGTCTGCAACTGTATTTCCTACCTGGCGGAGGAGCTGTCTCTGCTCTGTTCCTGCCTCTCTTGATCCCCTTCCTCATCGTCCTCATCACTGCTATCTATCTCGTCGCTAGAGGAGGAGTAATCCAGAGCCTTTTTGGGAGGTTTGGGGACATCTTCTGGGCGATCTTTCACTAATAAGTGGTCCTGAGGCAGGAAACAACATAAAGATACTTAGTATAATTTGGAAAAAAGCAACAGTCTAAAATGACAAAAAAAAAGACAAAAATAACAAAACATAAAAACCGCAGAAACAGAGGAATGATGACGATATGATAATATTGCACACCCAGACCAATTGCAGTACACCTTAAAAACAACTCCAGCCAAAACGCCATGCAATGAGACAGGAAGTAAGTGAAAATCTCCCAAAATGGAAACACACAAAGCAACCTAACAAAGCTTTTAACCCTTTCCAAACTATAGCAGTAACAAGTTTTGGTTGTCATCCACTGCAATAAAACAGGCTACACATTTATTGAATTCATCAAACTATTGCTCCAGAGAATATGTGCATAGAATTCCCACCTGGGGCTTCCCTGCTCTGACACATTTTACCCACATTTTACCCTAGATCAGGCTAATGCTGGCCATACACGGGTCGAAATTAGACCGATTTTCCGTCCGAAAATCGGACCTAAGAATAATTGAACGATTTTCGCTCTGTTAGTAGGTCAATGGCACCGGCCGATTTTCGTGGTTCCTCCCCTTTTCGGTGATCGGGCATGTTGGAAAATTTGTGAAAAACTACCGATTTTCGACTCAATGATGGTCAAATTGTACGATCGTTTTTCCGAAAAGAATATGCGCATGAGCCGTGACCTGGAAGGAACAGAAGTTTCACCTGTTATATGGGGTGAACTTTATGACTCAGTCGGCCGATTTTCGAAATCATTGATGGCACCATCGGATTACCGGGCGAACGACATTTCCGATTTTTGGACGTTCGGAATTCGACCCACTGCATTAGGCCTCGTACACACAATGGGAATATCGGATGAACGATCGTCTGTTTTTGTTTTTTTTTGCATGCTAATCTCTTACTGAAAATGAAAACTAAAGCTACAGAATACAACTTTGGAAGCGATGTAATGTATTGTAAAGTATTATTTCATTTCTGAGCATGTGTGTGTGGTCTTGGTCGATCAGTCTTTTTCGAACGAATAATGTACTGAGAATGAATGAAAATCGTTTGCTCTGGTATCGTACGAGAAAAAAAATGTCATGCTTGTCCCTGCGGATAATTCCACTATAACGGTTGTAATCGTCCCTCGACAGCTGTGTACTAGTGAAAAGATTATCGGACGATTGCACTGAAAGCAGTACTTTCTGTCTGATATTCTCATTGTGTGTACGAGGCGTTAATTGTAGAGCAGGGTGACCCCAGCAGGGACTTCTATGTGCATGCTCTTCACAACTAGGGGGGAGCTTGGGCATCCTCTGAACTCATCTCTAGCCATATTTGAACTCTATTTTTTTTTTTTTATTCCAATTCCCACTCTGCAGCTCACTGAGGCGGATGGAGAAGAATGACACGGCCTGCAGCTGACTGGAGTAAAAGAAAAGCACCAATTCAGATAGAGAAGAGCCTGAAGGATGCCCAGGCTTTTCTCTATTCAGGACAATAAGGTTCTTTTGCAGGCCTTGAAATTTCCACTCGCCTGCTCGCCAATGGTGAGTGGAAATTATAGTGGGGGCGAGTGTGTCCCCCAGGGCTGTCTTGCTGAGCAGGCTCGGAGCTCAGGCCGGATCTGTCAGTGGCACTGGGAGCCGTCAGACTGCTCAATAGCTGAGCGCAGTGAAAGCAAAGGAAGGAGTGTGCTTGTCTCTCTGCCTCCCCCTAGAGTGCAGTACCCGGCTCTGTGAGTGAACAACGAAGTACTGCAACATTTTATAGGTGTGTGTCTAAATTCAGCTCACTCTGGTCACATGATACTCTATGTCAGCCAGCGGTGGCTTCAGGGGAGAGGAGAGAGCACTTAGCGTGCGTTGTGTGTCTGTGTATGCATGTACATGTGTCTATGTGTATGTACATGTGTCTGTGTGTATGTACATGTGTGTGTGTACATACGTACATGTGTCTATGTGTATGTAACTGTATGTATGTACATGTGTGTGTGTATGTACCTGTCTGTGCGTGTGTATTTTTGTGTATGTACATGTATCTGTGTGTATGTACGTGCCTGTGTGTGTGTACATGTTTCTCTGTGTGTATGTACATGTCTGTGTGTGTATTTTTGTGTATGTACATGTATCTGTGTGTATGCATGTGTGTGTGTATGTGTACGTACATATGTGTCTGTGCATGTGTGTACATGTTTCTCTGTATGTGTGTGTGTGTGTGTATGTATGTACATGTCTGTATGTGTGTGTATGTGTGTGTGTGTGTACGTACATGTGTCTGTGCGTGCGTGTACATGTTTCTCTGTATGTGTGTGTGTGTATGTACATGTCTGTGTATGTACATGCCTGTGTGTGTGTGTACGTACATGTTTTCTCTGTGCGTGTGTACATGTTTATCTGTATGTGTGTACATGTGTACATCTGTGTGTGTGTACATGTTTATCTGTATGTGTGTACATGTACTCTGTATGTGTGTGTGTGTACAGGTGTCTCTGTGCGTGTGTGTACATGTTTCTCTGTATGTGTGTGTGTATGTACATGCCTGTGTGTGTGTACAGGTGTCTCTGTGCGTGTGTGTACATGTTTCTCTGTATGTGTGTGTGTATGTACATGCCTGTGTGTGTGTACAGGTGTCTCTGTGTGTGTGTGTGTTTGTTGGCGGCAAGTAACTCTTAAGGCCTGGCTAGTAGCTCAGGACTTGAAATGTTAAGCCCTGTTCTACTGTATGCTGAGATTAATGGATTATTTTTTTTTTTTTTTTGCTGTGGATGGGGTCTGCACCCAAATCTCCAGACATCGATATCATAGACAGAGCTTGAGGACGGCGACCTTTTCTTCCAGGCTTTGGCTGGAGCTGGGCTTGAATGCCATGGTACACACAGAGCGGGTACAGCACATCACTGTGACAGTAGCACAAACAGTTCAGAGTTCGGAAAACCTCACACAATGACACTAACCTCTCCTATTGCTCTTTTATAACTCTGACAGCAGTAGAGAAAAGAAAGAGATTAATGCAGTATAACATCACTTCTCTTACACACCAATGTAATACACAGGATGACAGGGATGTCAATGAAAGGTGAATTGTCAGAATCAGACATAAGTGGTATTAAATCCAAAACCAAACATGTAATATATTGCAGCTCACCAATCGTTAGATGTGCTGACTGCATTGGTTTTCGTTCTTTAGGCTTTTTTCCCCCGGCCAGTAACACACCTCCATTATTAGAGTGACCCAACTCTGGTTGAGCCCGGGTTCACACTGATGCGGTGCAGAATTCGCAGCGTTTTCAGTGCGAATTCCGCACCGCATCAGAATCGCGGTCCGCAAAACGCGGAGCGATGTGCAGAATTGGATCGTATAAGTGTGAATACCTATGCGATCCAATTCTGGTGTGGACCAAAAAAAGGGTCCTGCACGATTCATGGTGCGGTGCGATTAGAGCCATACAAAATATACGGCTCCGATCGCACCGCACACAAATCGCATGTGATTTGCACAGGAATACGGTGTGGTTTCTGTGCGAATCACATGCGATATTCCGCACGCATGTATGTGAACCCAGGCTGAAGAAGCACAGGGGACACAACTGAAAAGCAGCATTGTCAGTGTGGGGGTGGGGAGTGTTAAATATACTAGCAGATTTAAATACACTAACTAAACTGCAGCTGATACTTCATAAGTAGTTACAGCAACCAGTTAATGTTTTTCCTTTTTTGATAAGGGCTTTACATGGAAAAATAAAAGCTCATCATTGTAAGCGATAGTAAATGGTTTGCCTCATCCCTCTAACTGCTACATTTGCAGAAGAGCTTGTTCTTTTAAAAACAGATTTACTGGCTGGATCACCAAGTAAAAACAAGAGAAAGAAAACCTAAAATGAAAAAACTAATGCAGCCATCACATCTAAGAATTGATAAGCTGCAAAATAATGAATATTTGCTTTTGGGTTTAATATCACTTTGACAGCAGTGTGTAGCTGAGGCTCAAGAACGCAGGGACATGACCAAAAATATGAATCAAATGGTCAAGAGTAACATTAAGAATTATTATTGTAGTGTATGGTTGGAACAGACACCCAGCAGTAATAGGGACTTATTAAAAAAGTGAACACATTTGTCCAAGCTTGGCTAACCACAGGTGAAACCCCCAGGGGAGGGGGCTCAGTGATAGACCATTCAGTCTTCTATCTGTCGCCAATGTTTTGTCTTTATACCTTGATTACCCCAAAAACTTGCATGGAAAGGGCCATCAAAGACGGGATAAACACGTGGACACTGAAAGGCAACAGCTATAAATCAAAACCGTGATTAAACAGACTGCAGCTCCATTTGAGTTGAGTTTCAATCTGCTGGCAGACAAATGAATTCTGTCTGGCTTGTGCAGTGAAAAAGTAAGGGGACCTTGTATGCAAGTCACAGATGGGTCGAAACCCGGCCGTTTTTTTTATAAAAAAACACACACAAAAAAACGGTCATTCTATTGGCCGACGTTACCACCAATGGTAAAAAAATTGGCTGATTTACGTCCCGTCTACGGCTGGCATTTAACCCCATAATTACTTCTGTCCCTTGCAGAGATCTCCGCTATTATATTTTACATGAAAAAGTCTTGCGGTAGCAACAATGTATCTATTTGTATCCATTTCGGATACAGATGGTTTTATTCGGATACAAATAGATACATTGTTGCTACCGCAAGACTTTTTCATGTAAAATATAATAGCGGACTGGAATTCTTCTTTTTCTTCTTCGTCGTCTTATTCTTTTTCTTGTGCTCTTTTCATGTGCTTCTTTGTCATCGTCTTCTTCTTCTTCTTTTCATCGTCGTCTTCTTCTTCTTCTTTGTCATCGTCTTCTTCTTCTTCTTTTTCATCGTCGTCTTCTTCTTTTTGTCGTCGTCGTCTTCTTCTTTGTCGTCGTCGTCTTCTTCTTCTTTTCGTCGTCGTCTTCTTCTTCTTCTTCTTTTCGTCGTCGTCTTCTTCTTCTTTTTCGTCGTCGTCTTCTTCTTTTTCGTCGTCGTCTTCTTCTTTTCATCGTCGTCTTCTTTTTCTCGTCTCTCTTTTTCATCGTCGTCTTCTTCTTTTTTCGTCTTCTTCTTTTTCATCGTCGTCTTCTTCTTCTTTCGTCGTCGTCTTCTTCTTTTTCATCGTCTTCTTCTTTTTCATCGTCGTCTTCTTCTTTGTCATCGTCGTCGTCTTCTTCTTTGTCATCGTCGTCGTCTTCTTCTTTGTCATCGTCGTCGTCTTCTTCTTTGTCATCGTCGTCGTCTTCTTCTTTGTCATCGTCGTCGTCTTCTTCTTTGTCATCGTCGTCGTCTTCTTCTTTGTCATCGTCGTCTTCTTCTTTGTCATCGTCGTCGTCTTCTTCTTTGTCATCGTCGTCGTCTTCTTCTTCGTCATCGTCGTCGTCTTCTTCTTCGTCATCGTCGTCGTCTTCTTCTTCGTCATCGTCGTCTTCTTCTTTGTCATCGTCGTCTTCTTCTTTGTCATCGTCGTCTTCTTCTTTGTCATCGTCGTCTTCTTCTTTGTCATCGTCGTCTTCTTCTTTTCTTTTTCGTCTTCTTCTTCTTCTTTTTCGTCTTCTTCTTTTTCATCGTCTTCTTCTTCTTTTTCATCGTCTTCTTCTTCTTTTTCATCGTCTTCTTCTTTTCATCGTCTTCTTCTTCTTTTTCATCGTCTTCTTCTTTTTCATCGTCTTCTTCTTTTTCATCGTCTCTTCTTTTTCATCGTCTCCTTCTTTTTCATCGTCTCCTTCTTCTTTTTCATCGTCTCCTTCTTTTTCATCGTCTCCTTCTTTTTCATCGTCGTCTTCTTCTTTGTCATCGTCGTCGTCTTCTTCTTTGTCATCGCCGTCGTCGTCTTCTTCGTCATCGCCGTCGTCTTCTTCTTCTTTGTCATCGTCGTCTTCTTCTTTGTCATCGTTCTTCTTCTTTGTCATCGTCGTCTTCTTCTTTGTCATCGTCGTCTTCTTCTTTGTCATCGTCGTCTTCTTCTTCTTCTTTGTCATCGTCGTCTTCTTCTTCTTCTTTGTCATCGTCGTCTTCTTCTTCTTCTTTGTCATCGTCGTCTTCTGCTTCTTTGTCATCGTCGTCTTCTTCTTCTTTGTCATCGTCGTCTTCTTCTTTGTCATCGTCATCTTCTTCTTTGTCATCGTCGTCTTCTTTTTCTTCTTCTTCGTCATCTTCCTTTTCTTCTTCTTGCAGGTCACGGCTCATGCGCAGATTTTTTTATCGGTTAAACGATCGGCCGATTTGCCCATCCACTGCGGGGGAAAATCGGCCGATCATCAAAATTGGGCGTAAATTTTCCAACATGCCCGATAAAAAAAAGCCCGAAAAAACGGCCGACCAATTAACCCACTAACGGTGTGAAAATCGGCCGATTTTTGACCCGTCTATGGTCTGCATTAGACTGCATTCAATCTGAGAGCCTGTGGTCCCTTGCACCACACTTACGTATGAGTAGAATCCAGCAGTGTGGATCCTGATGGCATGAGTGAAAGGGGAAATAGAGAAATAGACCTGTTACACACAAGTGCCTGCTTCCTTTCAGTGTAAAGTCCAGGGATTCTTGCCTGCCCAGCAGTCCAGGTGCTGCGCAAGCCTCCCACAGACATGAGTGGCTGTGTGTCGCTGTACTCCAAGTATACACTGGTGCGATCGTAAACATGAACAGAGCAAACAGGAATATGTAAAAAAATAGAAAATTTTATATTTTTTGCATATGGCCATAAGCTATACTCGTGTTTACAACAGCACCCCCATATACCTGGAGTACAGCCGGCTGTGTCATGTGTTCGTTTACACCACCAGTACACCAATCCACTAACAACAGAAGGATGGAGATCCGTTCCCCATCTTTTCAATGGATTGGATGACAGTCGGATGCAGGGGCGGACTGACAACTCATGGGGCCCCCGGGCAATAGGGGATCATGGGGCCCCTGTGTCCTTGCCCAAACTCAAAAAAGCCTATGAAAAAGGTACCAATGGCATCTCATGGGGCCCCCTACTGACCCCAGGCCCTTGGGCAGTGCATGAGTTTCCAAATGGTCAGTCCGCCCCTGGTTGGGTGTAAGCAGACAAGCGGTCCGTTTACATCCGACTGCCCATAGAGGAGAGTGGGCTGCATCTGTGTCCGCGCTGCATAAGCGGAAGGGACAAGCACCAGCCATCCGCCTGCTCAGCGGGGATCAGCAAATCAATCTCCTGCTGAGCGAGCCCCATGTTAAAAAGGGCTTATTGTACACAGAGGACCACCTGCAAGTACAAGACACAGAAAAACTGGTAAAGGCTCATTCATTCCTTAGCAGGATGGTATAAAATGCATCCTTGATAATGGCAAACCAAAGGAGCAGTGCATCTTGTTTCTTGTATGCTGAAAATGCCAACCTACGCTCTAAAACCATATAAATGTCAAATCTTTTTTTTTATCCTGACAAAAAAAAAAAAAAAAAAAAAAAAGGTAGAAGAATAGATGTGAGCTAAAATTATTGTAACAGGCAATAAAAGCATTCATTAATGTGTGAAAGGTCAAGCACACCTGAAAATGGTGATTTTAAGTGCAAAGGTTTGAGAAGGACCCAACAGAACATAGAAAAGTGATGACTTAAAAAGAAACCTGGAAAGTAAAAATCAAACAAAACTGATGGAATGAAAAATG